GATAAAATAATTCGTGAGTACCCTCTGTATATATGTTTTTAGACTAATTTACCAGTATCTTTGGATCATAGGAAGACTTCAGGCGGGTTTTTGAGGCGGCAGTCAGGGTTGGACTGTCGTTTGGATATGTTATGCAGTGAGAGACACCTATGCGGTATTCAGATATTATTATCCACGTTTGGTGCCGACACTATCAGCTATGTCTCGGGAAATATGCCTTGCCCTAGTTGTAGACTGTTCGCTATGCTAGCAGTGCCTATGTATGTCCAAATTCTTTCTGCTGGTAGCGTTGTAGAGTCCTCCTAAACCATCTGTTAGGGAAGTGGACTATGGGGGTAAATAATTCCCCAAACAATTATCTGCTTATTTGCCCAGAGCTTTCACCATACATAACACAAGAAGCAAGTAAAGGGCTTGTGGATGTACCTAAATCACTGAAATCGCCCAAAGTTATAAAAGCTAGCGAACATTCAGAAGCGAATGCCAAGAAATGAATAGGTTTATACAAGCTATTCTGGATATCAACATAGTCCTTGGAACTCTCTACCAGCAGCAGCCTTTAAGCAGAGGTTGAATAATCATGCAACAACGCTCAGTGTTAGGCAGACTGATATGTGCCCTCAGATACCACGCCTTATCAGTGAGTTATCAATTAAAGTGATCATTGATCCCCACATGGTCTTCTGAGTTTCAGTTTTCTTATTACTCAATTTAATCAACCATGCTTTCATTGTCTCTGTTTATCTGTTACTACCTACCATCAGTTTATCTCTTCAAAATACACGTTAACTTTGTGAAGAATTCTCATCAGAACATGTGGAAAATGAAAACAGGCGATTCAGCTGAATCACTTAAAACTGCATCCTACTATTCAGATATAACCAGCCTAACACATCCCTCCAGCAGGAGTGTTCTCAAAATACGACAGGCGAGCAGTATGAATAACTACGCAGAAGCTTACTGAAAATCAAGAGACATTAAACCACTTTTAGAAAGCGAGACCAAAGAAAGGTACAAGGTCGCAAAAACGATACTGGATATTGGGAGCATTGTATGTTGAACGTGGACTATTTGATTTTGTTACATATTCTTGCGACCATATGTGCTTGCCTAGAAAGGTCCATTGTGGGGGTCTATTTTTCAATTTTTTGTGAGATTCAAAAGAATTTATTCATGGGGTAGCTATTTAACAAGTATTAATTACTTTTAGATCGGCTTTTGATTAGTATGGGATTAGTTCGTTGAGAAATTATGCTATGACGCGATTATAAACTGGTATACATTGCTTCCCCTCCCGAACTCCCCAGAATGCCTGAAAAATAGTAAAAATTACGAACTGTCGCCTTTTACATGGTGGTTATGTGGTGCAAACTTTTCAGTGCAGAAATTTCCACACAAGTCAGCACTTAAGTGCTGTTCTTCAGTTTTCGGCATTACTCTCATTATTTCAACCTCTGTTGGCATTTTTCAGCTTCAGTTTTAATACCAGCTGGCATCATTTACTATTAGATCAAGCGTTACCTGGCATTCATGCAGATATTTTCCCATGCTTCACTCATTAAATCAGCACATAATGAGCATTTTTCAGCACACAAAGCATCCCTTTAGCACGCATGTTTTGGAATTAGTCTAGCGCTTTTTTGAGTTCACATACTGAGAAAAATACCTGAAATCTTACCCAAATTAAAAAATTAGAGGTGGTGATTTAGGGAAAACTGTTATATTTCTCCCAGTTTCTCACACTGGTCCTCTACCAAATCGCCCTCAAGTTTTGTACTCGAGGGAATTTGTCGAGTGTCAGAAATCTTTTAGTGTTTCACTCCACCGCAGTATTTTTCATATTACGGCACAAAAAAAGACTGTGTATAGTATAGAAAAGCAAATAATCGGAATTTACTGAATCATGCAATTTAACTTAGTTCCTTCCACATGCGGTCGCTTTTTTTTGAGAAGCATATTTTCTGCAGTATTTCTTTACCTAAGGAAATATTTTTACGTATCACTCTCATTTACTTCTTAAATAATCTTGGTTTATGGTTTACGAAACCACACTCCTTATGAAAATAGGGAGATAATGTTCCTAAAAACCCAGCCTTGTTATTACCATTTTCCCATTACTGTATAATTGTTTTCATTATGTTGACAGGATGACGGTTTGTTTCAGTGTAGATCAGACAAATGTGCTGGGGGGAGAAAGGACACTGCAAATGCATTTAAGTTGTGCTAGATAATACTACTCCAAGCTCTATTCATGTTTTCTGAAAACTGAAGAATTTATTCTTGTCACTGCACCAGTTCAAGGTATTTTAATCTGCAGTAGTAAAAGAATCGTGTTGCGTTTCCATTTGGAGGTATCTTAACATTTAACTGACAGTATTTATAATTGAATTCTCTCTGTGGATAAGTTGGTGTGCCATCAAATATTTCTTACAGACCATCCTATTTTATAACAGAATTCTTCGTATAGGTTCCTATACAGGTATCCTGAAAGGTTTTAATATAATTTGAAGCATAAACACTCAATAAAATGAGTAAATTATTTGATTTCGCGAAATTTTCATAATGTGAGTGTTTCGTTATTAGAAATTAGGCAGCGCTAATGAAACCGATACTATTCACACAGTGATATGATATTAATGTGTAGAAATAAGGGTTGATAGCATTCTGTAGAGAAACACAAACGGTAAGAGTTTGCATATTTTCAGCAAACTCTTTACTCAATTCCGGATGAATCTCTCAGAAACGCAAATGTTAAGAGGTGGTTGTTTTCACTCATAAAGTTGCTTTATCATATTTATAAGTGTTTCATTTTGTGATAAAAATCTTTTCTTGTCTCTTTGGTAAATATACGCTCATTTTTATCATTACCTTGATGCGTATAACAACTACATGAATAATAACCAAACGTTTGATTGAACACTAGTAACTAGTGTGATGTGCAGATTGAATTCCATCAGTAAAGTTTGCAATGTGGCCACCATTCTAGGTAGCTGGCCTCCAACCATCTAATAACCAAATGTCTTTAAGTGACTTAGTAGTGGATTATGCCCACGCTTTATAAACAGAAATTATTTTACTATTATGAGAACTGATTAAGTGAATAAGTGTGGCATCAAGGATTCACGGCTAACATTTGATATATAAGTTCATATGAAAAATATTAGTTATTGTGCCTATCTCGTTAAACTGGCTGTTGTTTGTGTAAGATAAATGTATCCAGTAGGGTCGTTAAGCAGCCCCATTAATAACTGCTTTATAGTGGTTCCTCAAGTATCATAGTGTTTATTTGATCCAAAATGACTGACTCAAAAAATAACCTAATACCGCATAAAAGTGTGGTAGTTTAGGTATCTACACTTTTCAGCCACAGAAAGGAAGAAAGTAGATATTAAAATGACATTTTTATAGATATTTAGTTCACCGTTATCTTAGGCTAAATCTCTTGGCCTTTGTATAAACGCCAAACTTCTAATCGGATAATGAAAGCTCATCATTTAATAAACGAAACTGTTTGTCTTGATAGTTACAGTGAATTAAAAATGAGGCAGAGCTATGAAAGCAACACTGATAACTTGCGTTCACATCACTTGCGTTATATAAGTTATTAAGAACGTCTGTGTTATAATGTCCTATTTTAGTTGGTCAGCTTCCATCAAATGAATGTGAAGTTTGTGTTACGTTTACCTATTATTTGTGGTATATCATAATAACACTCAGAATGTGGAATGCAGCTCACGAGTATAAAATTTGTTTCCCTGATAAAAAATTTCTCTATGTTTATAAATCCATATTTCTCTTTATTGGAAATATCTAGAAACATTTTTATAATTACATACACATCACCGTTATTTCGTGATTATGACCGAGAGTCTAATTAGCATGTAGTCAAGCTCCTATTGGGCAACTTATAACTACTTAATTTATGTAATAAAGGTTAAACTAATCCTTCCCTCAAGAACAAATAGTAATAGTTTCTCAAAGTGCGTAAATCCGAAAATATGAAAATTTGTTATGACTTTATAAATTAGAGGCTAATTTATCCACCAGGAGTTTCTCCACAAAATGCTAATCTTTTATAGTTTACAAGATTCGCTTACAAATATTCTAGTTAGTGTTAATGGAAATGAAGTCCAGCACCCTTGATACCCCTCAGAAAGGCACCCGATTGTTTTTTTTATTCCTTCACGTTCCCAGTGGAACATACGGCTTCAAGATGGGGGCTTGAAGTTTCTGTAGCAGTGTTTATTTTTACAGGATGGGGTTGCTAGCCTCATGCCCAACCTTTCCTCTTTACCAGCTTTTACTTCTGGCTTAGCGAGGCAAAGGAGTGCGTCGGCCGGGGATTGAACCCCGGACCATGTGCATGGTCGGCGAGCGTCCTAACCACTGTGCCACCGATGCCACCCGATTGTAGAACTAGTAAATTTAAACTTGCATTCTTCTAGGATTGTAAAATCAATTCAGAAGATATTCCATTGAACATTTATTATCTCCTCATTGCTTTCGAAGTATTTATCATATACACCTACCTGCCATACAAACATTTTGTAAATGGTGATTTGTTGGTTAGACCATAAACTTATGTTCTTACCACCGCATTTTGGTATGATTTAAAGACACATTCATAGGTCTCTGCGATAATCATTGGAACTTGTTTTCAATGTATTACAAACAAAACAGACAATATAAAATATATGGTATTTATAATTTATTGGCTTTTCAAAATCATCTGAATAATTTAAATAATTTAGTTAAATAGTGAGAGATGACAATTAATCAAGATGAATCCAGTCTAAGCCCTTTAATGTAAACTTTCTGTTCTCTTACAAACGCAGTTAGTGTTAAAGTAAACAAAGACAATTACATATTATTATTATATTTAACAGTGTCCATCACCTACCTTCAATCTGGCAATATGACTAGTCCATGAAGCATCTTGTTCAAATGAATTTGTGAATTATAACCTCTGTAATATTGCTTTCTTATTATTTTCTTCTCAGCAGATATAATATTGTGAACAATTTAAAATTATAATGTCTACAAAGATCTCATTTGTTTATCTGGAAAGGAGTATTTATGCTGTCGCTGTCATAGGCATCTTTAATTATTCTACTTATAGACTGTTTTTGTCTTCAAAAAACCCAGGTAACAAACCTTTATGATCTAATCAGTGTAGATTACCACAGCTTATTACACTTGAGGAATATTACTTTCGCTCCAGATTTTGCACTATTGCAAGATGCAGCAGAGGTACAATGGACGTTGCTTCCATTATGGATGAGTTTTGTCCCTTACTTATTACTACATTCACTGGCTTCATCACTAATATTTACTCTGACAAAGCCAAAGGTAGATTCTGTTTACTTATTATTTATTTGTATAGATACACAAATGCTGTCGTGCAATTTTATCTATTTGGTTAGTCGTTCATTTGATCGGAATTAACATGGTTATTGATATTTTGTTCAACTTACTGTGCTTCTTGTGCATAAGCTATTTGGTTTCTGGGAATTGCATTCTAATTTGGATCTTCACTGTTTTGATATTTCAAGTATCTGAATTCTTTATTAGTTCAGCGAGTTATGAGGTTAGAGAAAACAAATTTTCTCCAGTTGATTTGTATTCATGTTTTAAATGCTTTATCTGTCATACATAAAAGTATATTGCGTATCAACAGAAACGTTTTTGTCGAATTGTGTTTGGAACGTGTATTATTTGACGGAAAAAGCCCCGAAACTTCTAACTTTGAGTATTTTCAGGCATAAATGCTTCAAATAGCAAATGTCCTCAAAATAGGTTTATTGTCTCATGGAAATCAGTTTTACATGACCATCCATCACAAAAGGGGGTACAGAATCATTTCATCGAGTTTTATTGCAAAGAACTCAAGTGGAAAGTTTAAACCATATTAACTGACTAAAGTGATTACAGCTGTTAAGAAACTAGGTTTCTGTACGAACTACAGGTTGGTGCTTTCCACCCACATATCTAAATGTCCATATTCATTTGATTCGTTTGAAATTACTGCAGTTTAATTGGGTAGAAAGTTTTAAAAACAGTACTGTTGACATTCTTTATACTTGGTCCTTTATAAATATCTACTCTTACAACTTCTTTTACTGTGTTGCACATTAGATTAACAATATGCTTAGATCTACGATATTTATCTAATTGACCTATGAAAGCTTACTGTTGTGCAGTTATCAGCATAAAACTATTTTCTGTTTATTTTATTCATTAATTTAGGAGAAAGGCATGTCTATCGTTTACTTCAGGATTTCTAATAATAAGATTTGGCATTTTTCTCCTTAGACTTATTATAATGAAATGAATGAATCATTAAAAGCTAAATTACTGAGGGTATAAAAATGAAAGATATCCTGTTAACTGTCCAGGGTTTATTGAACTCGTTAGAGATCGAATGATTCTAAAACTGCTTTTTGCTTAGGATAATGTATACACATTGCTGAAGAGTTCTGAACCAAGACGAACCTGGCTTCAGTTTATATCTAAGTTTATAATTAAAAACAAACAAACATATATTATGCTTCACCCATAATTTATACCTATTTTATCATTTTTTGTGTTTTATCTTTTGTATACTAGGTATCATTGTTTACTCGTCATTCAGTGTCGGATGAATGGTTTGTACTTTTGTATGCTGCACATTTTTACATAATACTACGTGGTTTAAGTGTGGCATTATCAATTCATAGATTATCAGACAAATCCAGGTCATCTTCTCGTGAACCTGAAGTGAAAGTGGAACCAACAATAAAATGTGACTCAAAATTTTCATTGACTATTCTACTGGATGCGTTGGATTATTCTTTTTATCCACATGCACTATTTTTAGGTCCTTTAATTTTGTATTCAGAATGGCGTGACTTTTGGGTAAGAATTTATCAAAATTATTGTTAATTCTGTCTATAAAAATTATTTACAAACCTATAAGAGTTTTGGAGGAATCAGTGTGATTAGTTCTAGATTGTAAAACACTTTAGTAGTTAATTGACTAAGTTACTAGAACCACCATTTCACATAGAAGTTGTTCGGTATTACTGAACTCAAGTAGAAAATTGGTATTAATGCCTCACATTTTTAAATGAGATTTTTCAACTAAAACAGTATATTTTTAAATCTAATTTTGTATTTTCCGTTGATTGATTGATTATGTTGGACAGGGATGTTCGGTCTGTGTTTACATGTCAACTCCTAGTATGGACGCTTCGACGATGTCTGAGGATTAATATGTTGTTACTTGGTGGATGATGACTAGCAGTGGAATCCAGGTTTCGCATTTTGTCCTACTGTCGACTCATCACCTAGATGTACCTGCAATTTTCAGCGAGTGATGGTGTCCCCATTGAGACTCGAATCTAGCGCCCACCGTTGAAACAATGTATTTGAATAGATAAGTGTCATAACAGACATCTTCAGTGATTTCTTACGTCTTGAAACAGTAATTTTATTCAAAATGCTAGAAATTAATTTAATGAATCTGTTCTTAAAATAATAGTAAATGCAGCTCGTGGTTATAATGAGCTTTTGATTTTCAACGTAATTATTTGTTCTTAGAATAACAGTAGTATAAAAACTTTCCTTCAGACATGTACAAACAGTGGTCTAGTTTCAGTACCCAACTGCTTTAAAATACTATCAAAATATAGATTCCCCATCCACCAAGTATAATAATGTATTTTCAAGAGTTGATTTGTAAGAATTTGATTTGTTTTTCGAGTTTGACCACGGATTGACATCAGTTAGAGAACCATTGAAAACCAGGGAGTAATGGACAGTTGTTTCGTCCTAGTTTGGGACTCATCGACAGTATGCACTCACTGGGGTTCGAACCCACGACCTTCCGATTACAAGGCAAGTTCGTATACCATTCAGCCACCGGGACCCGGTTCAATGGCCAGCCCATGAATTCTAACTACTACCAATTCGTGATTTTAGCGCTACCACTAATCAGTGTCATCGGCGGGAACTCCATCCTCACTCGCGACTGGATCAAATCAATTCTTGAAAATTAATCTGATGCTAGCTAGTGACTTGCTACAGGACGGAGTTTCCTGGAGTTCTAGTGAGAAGTCGTGACCAATGAGGTCCATCCAGTCGGGAGTGAGGATGGAGTTCCCGCCGATGACATTGGTTGGTGGTAGCGCTAAAATCACGAATTGGTAGAAGTTAGAATTCATGTAGTGGCCATTGAATCGGGTCCCAGAGGTTGAATGGTATACGAGCTTGCCTTGTAATCGGAAGGTCCTGGGTTCGAACCCCAGTGGGTGCGTACTGCCGATGACTCCCAAACCAGGACGAAACAGCTGTCCAGAACTCCCCGATTTTCAGTGGTTCTCTAACTGATATCAATCCGTGGTCAAACTCTAAAAATAATAATATATGTTATCTAAATGTTCATACATTGAATAAAAACAACTAGAATAATATTATTATTCTTATCAACATGTTGTTGTTTTATTTTCAGGTAAATTGTAACTCTTTGTCATCCAGTCAATCAGCAAGTTTCAAGACACTCTTTTCAACATTTTTATCACTTTTATTCAAAGCTATTCGACTATTATTTTGGAATTCATTTTGGTCATTATGTTTATGCTTCGTTTATCCTAATTCATTTGGATATTTATTTCCTTATGCACAACTTCATGATTTATCGAATAGATTAAATAAAAATTACTTTGTTATTGATCGTGGTACAATTGGTGCAATCATGTCATTGCGTGGTTTACACTTATTTATGACATATTTACAATTTTATGGATGGCCATATGTACTTACAAATTTCGAATGGCTTCTTATAAATCTATTCAACAAGTTATTAAGTGTAATACATGGATCATGTAAGAAAAATCAATATGAAATAAGAAAATCCTGTGATGGTTTACATCGACTTCAAGTTTCGTATATACCTGATCCACCATCATGTTTACTCCACGTTCTTTTGACTTCTGAATGTTGGCGGTTAGTTGAAATATTATTTCATATTTTGTTATTCAGTATGAATTCTCAGAATGCTCTTTTTCTTATGCGCCTCTGTGTAACACTTTCATTGAAAAAAACATGATATTTCTCTTTCAGTAGACAAATTAAACTGGAGAGGTTTTAATATTCTGGGGGAGTAGGTATATTAAGTCTTTTTTACATCCAGTCGTTTTGATACCTCGCTACTTATTGAGGGTTAGCCAGTTTGGGATTAAATTAAGGAAAGTTAATATGCGATTAATATAGTTCATATAATCCCTTGTATAAATTCTGCGAGCACAACATACCTTAGTATCAGGTGGACTTTTTTATTTCGTACGAAAGGACTTTGAATACGCCGTCCATACATAGCTGAATCAGTGGCTATTCGGGATCTGAAACCGGACCTCTGCATTCAAAAGCACCACATACGTTACGTCGCCCTACCGTAGACAGAGTAACGTCCTCACTATAATTTTGCTTACCAAAAAAAATACGGTGTTGAATCAAGCTGTAATACAGATTTTATAAAAACACTTTATCGTCTTTCCACTAGTTTTTGTCCACTCTACACAACGATATTAATTAGTCATTTCCTCACACTCATTACGTCATGACAACTTCTGCCCCCTTTTCTAATTTCCAGTTAGTCACCCCTTCTAGGTTACACCTTACACATTGCGTAATACGTTTTTCGAGGACAAATTTTGCCAGTATCTGATTGGTCTTACGATTTCTTTGTTAAATATAATCACGATTGTACAGCTTATGAAAATGAATCGTCGAAAAGAAAATGTTCTTCGCTGTTTACGTTTTTTTCTTAGGACTTTGTAATGCCTAACTTATATACTTAATTGCTGCTAAGTAAGTTATAAAATATATAGTAAATAAAATGAGTTATCGTGTTATTTGAACACGTTACCATATTAATCAATCCGAATTAGTTTACACTGTGAGTTCCAATATTCCATGTTTGAGTTTCTTTCATCTAAAGCCTATCTGAAATTAACTAATGTCTTCAATTTATTATGAGGTGTCAAAATTAAAACAGCATTCGATAGTGGTTCTGAATACTTCTCGTTGGCTTAATTTACCCGCATTTACAATAAGACTCAGGACTGAGTTTTTTTTTTAAATTATCAATTTCATCCTTTTTGTTAAGTCTATATGTCCAAGTGAATGCTGAATATTTTGTCATCATTATAATGCTATATTGTACTGATTTCTAACATTCCAGTTTATTGAGACTTCAAAATCATATACTAACAAACTAACTAACACCTTATTTATTATTATTTTAGGTCATTTGATCGTGGATTGTATAATTTTATCAAATCGTAAGTGATTTTGCATTTTCTACCTCAACGTTTTTATTCTTAGTGGTTTGATTGAAAAGGTTTGTAAGGTTTTGACTGTATCCATGCTTATTACTCATAGAAGGATACTTATACAGTGAATTACATGTTTCAATGTAGATTTCGTTTTGAATTAACAACAATTTGTGACTCACTGGAAGCTGAGATACACTGATGGTTCTAAATATATGCAAGGAAACAAGCGTACACACTGTAACAATAGTTCTGCTTAGTTATCATTTATAAGACGTCTATTCATTCAGTTATTCTCACTGAGGTTGTCTCTAATGCCTGCTTCTGGTCCAACATAATAATACTGTACGTTCATCTACACTGATAATTGCGCAATCCTTCTATTTTTATGACATTTTAATTAGATTATGATGAGAAAGTTATTATCTGCACCAAAAAGGAATGAATACATTAGACTGAAAATTTGTCAAATGCACTGTCTTGAAAGCAACATTTAAGAATATATCAAAATTGCCTTATTTTGCTTTTATTTCGTTTGCTTGATATATTCTCACAATAGACTAGTGAGAGAAATCTTAAGAATTTGTAACTAGGAGTACATATTCTAAAGTGAAATACAAAAGTGTTGACCACTTCACTTATTTAGGAAGTTGCATTATCCCTAATGACCTAATGGCTGATAAAATCTGGGTAAGGATATGAACAGTTCGTTGGTCATTTGCCAGCTTACTTCATCTTTGGCGTATACGTGATATCTGGCTATCGATCAAACGATGTGTGTAATGCGAAACAGTTCGCTTTGTGATTTTTAATAGGTGTGAGAAATAACCATTGAAAGTGGAAGTTATGAAGAGACTAGTTGTCTTTGATCATAGATGTTTGAATTCTCTCCCCTTTACTGAGTGATAGAATATGGTGAGTAACACTGATATCAAGCGTAGAGTTTTAGGTAAAGACAGCAAGTTAATCGATGGGATTGTGAAGCTGCATCGAATGAGATGGTTAGGACATGTATCACGCATGTCAAGCTATATCACCTTCCTCGTCGAGCATTGTTAGCTGGCATAAGATTAAGTTGCGAAAGAGTGAGAGGTAGTCAAATCAAAACCTGACATAAATCCATGAAGTCTTTGGTGTAAGCCAGTTACGTAGGGAGTGGGTACAAACTGACTGGGTGGGGGTCATCGAGACGCTAAGAATCAATGATTGAGGACTTTTGGTGACATGGCTAAAAATCTTCCTCAGTGGCGCAGAAACATTCACTCTTTATGATCACCCTGATCCATTAAATCCTTGTGTTTCTCCATGTAATTATTCCTTCTCCCGTACATCTATGTTTATTATAGTTCTCTTGAAGCTTTTCTTTTTCTCTATTTTTGTGTGCTATATAAAGTGTGGCAACTTGAACTGTTACATTTTTGTGGAAAGTTCCGTGCTGAAAGTTCAGTCAGTCAGTCAACAGAAATGAACCCTATGTAGCTCTAAACAGATGTATGTTTATTTTGGTTAAATAATGCTTATTTACTATAAATAGGAAAATAATACCTTAAATGCAACGTGGAACAGGTTTATCAGTGTTCTACTTGTTAGAGTTTTGCAGGGAATTTCCTGTTCCCTCCATTTCTTGTGAAGCGTTTGGAAATATATTTCTTATAATTTATCAACTTGTGTTTAAAAAAGATTAAAATGCTGTTGAATATCGCATACTTCATTTTTATTCTTTAATGCGGACGAAATTAATTATATTTATCTAACTAAAGGTAATGATGCTGTTTATTGTTTTCTTAATTACCTGTTCTTATTTTCTAATACGATGGAGAAGAACATATATGTCATTTCCTTTTCAGATATCTTTATTTTCCTGCACATGCTTCTAACAACATAAAAGCAGTGTAACATACATTTGTGAAACAGATTCTCTTAATTCCTTAACAGATAAGTTTATTTGATATAAAGCACACAGTGAAACAGTATTAATAACTGAATGACGTTTGGAGCGCCATTTATTGCTCAAAATCATATAAAATATATTCACACTACTTCCCAACTTGTTTCATCCATTTTCTTCACCCTTCTTGTCCCTAATATAATTTTGCCTATATCCAGGAAATATGTTTGGTCAGTCCTGTTGCATGTAGCTGATTTCATCCAGTTAGTTATTAACACCGTGTTACTGTCTTATATCAAATGAATTATATTCTACCACAGTGCCACAATTCTCTTAAGTCTCTGCATAATCTGACTTTATGTCTTATGTCTATTCAACATAACCATCGTAATGATTTAGAGTAAAAATCTGATACAGTTTGACACTTTACAAGACTGTTTCCTTTGCTTACTATGAATGACAAAATATATCAGAGATGAAGTCAATCTATCAAGCTCGATTTACTCTTATGTTACTCAGTTATTAAAATAATTTCTATCCCCTCTAAAAAAGTTAGAAGTCAGTATTTTTTATCAATAAAATACCAGAATGTAATGAACTGATATTTAGTAAACATTACTTTTATTCTATTTGGAGTTTGTTTACAAATTCTTCCATTTTCTTTAATGGTCAAAATGTTATTTTTATGTGTACAGCAAAAATGATGTGAAATTAACATGAAGAAGTCAAGTAAGCTTATTGTTATTATTTTCATTAATTAAGATCAACTGTGAATTCCGTACATTTGCCAGTTTTACAGTGACCAGTATATACTTTATCAAAGTTAGGTAATACAGTGTGCGTCAGTGGTTCAGCGGTAGAGTGCTGGTCGACCATGCACGTGGTCCGGGGTTCAAGTCCCGGCCGGCGCACTCCTTTGCCTTCCTTCGCCGATTATAATCCCGACGAAAAGGGGAGGTTGGGCGTGAGCCTAACAACCCCACCCCGTAAAAAACCCATTGCTACTGAAACTTCAAAGTGAAAGATTGAAGCTCTATGTTCCACTGGAAATGCAAAGGAATAAAAAAGGTAATACATTACTGATTGACTGACTAAAGATTACCAAACGGATTGTCACTGTCACGTTGCGAGGTGGATAGAAGGGCCAATCTCGGAATCTTTGTTCATCGGATCAACACCAAACACATGCCATCGAAATGACTCAAAGCCTATATCTGATATATGAAAGAATGCAATAAAAAAAATAGAAGTGAAAGTATGTAAAGCAAGTCAGGAAGTTATGTGAATACATTGATGTGATTATAAGCGATAAATTGTGTGTGAGTGACTTGATATGATTATGAGCAGTAATAATTTGTGCTCGAAACGTTATCAGTTAGTATTACTGTACAACACTGTGTGATTTATCAAAATAAAATCTTATCTATAAAGGAGTGTGCTTGAAAAGTCATCCACTTATTAATATTGATCACTGTATGTTAGATCGAATAAATTTATTTAATCTGGAATTATATTCTACCCCAATGCCCAAATTCTACTTTTAAATACGTTATGACTGGTGGTTCTAATCTCATGGTTTCGAGGAAATTATTGTGCGGTTAGATTAGAACTATACAAAATAAGTATCTACTCTTAATTTTATCAAATGAATATTGCGATATGCACCTAATAATAATAATAATAATAAAACTCGATGATGGGATTTTGCATGCAAGAGTGTGATTCACACTTTATGTTTTACGGCTAAATCGAATTAGACTGTAAAGCCTGGACCCAGTTACTGAAAGACAAGCATGGAAACCTATGGGCTACACTTCTACTGAAGCTGTTAATATCGAAGATTTATTATTCACCTTTACAACTGTGATATTATTTAAATTGTAAACTGAGCATAGAAATTAGCCCTTAAAGCTTCTTTTCATAAATATCAGAATATGATACGTAAAGGAGTCATTAAATCGTGAAACTACATCATGCGAGACACAAAAAGTCCTACAAACTATTAACTATCTTTAATTTTTTAAATAATCCCACATTTTTCATTTAATATATATATATATATATATTATTTTGTTGAAATTTCATAGAACTTCTGTTTGTCTTTTTCATTATCTTTAGGTATATTTTTCTGCCTGTAATTAAGTATGAACTACCTTTAACATATAAGTATTCAAATATTGTGAAATTAAATCCTACCATCAAAACTGTACTAGCGCTTATTTTGTCCTACTTATTTGTACTTTTATACCATGGAATTGATCAAACAAATAGTAAGTGTGTATATCTATTCTGTATACGGCTAATTTGTAACATTTTATATGAGTTAACTGAAATTGTTCTCAGTGACAGAAGGGCATCAATATTTTCCTATTTAAATTTCAAAGATAATAATGCTTAATTTTCAAGTATTGGTTTTTTTAAGGGATTTTGTTTGATTGGTTGAAGGATTTCATCATGAGTTGGCATCATTTAGAGAACCATTGGAAAGCCTGCAGGGAGTACTGGACAGTTGTTTCGTCCTAGTTGGGATCTTCACATGCATTGATGAAGAGTCCCAAACTAGGACGAAACAACTGTCCAGTACTCCCTGCAGGCTTTCCAATGGTTCTCTAACTGATGCCAGCTCATGATGAAATCCTCCAACCAATAATAATGCTTACATTATAAATTTTGAAGATGAATTAGTTGAGTCTAGTCGAAGTCTTTTTTATGTTAATATCCTCCTCAGTAGTCCAGTAAACTTCCACGGTTTACAAACGGAATTACAACTTATCGCTATTCACAGTAGCATAATCGTTAGTTCAGATTGTCGGCATATGTTTTTATCCTTTCCAATCAGAACAGAAGAATAAGCTAATTAACATCCTTTATGCGAATAATCACAGATTTTTTTATAGTGGAAAAATTGTGTTAGAATGCCATATAACAGTTCCTAGTTAGATGAGATTCAAGGTATATTTCTCATTTTGTGATTCCAGCTAAGATGGCATATTTTCTACAGTTCCTACTCCAATAAATTACTAGTTGTTCTGTAAGAACTCTGATCAAGATTTGACCGAAAAGTTGCATAAACATTGGACACCAAGGGAAAAGTGGACATATATAAAAATTATATTTGCATAAACCTCAGCAAAATTAAAATTACTAGCTAACTCATATGAAGTCCAGAGACGGTAGAATTAACAAGCAAATGCCTCTAAAAATTGTTTATTGAATGAGCTACATGAAACAGGGACTAACAGTGAAAGGACAATAATTAGTTTGAACTATACATTGCCTTAGTCTGTTGCTCAGATTCCCCCGTCCCCATGTATTAATAGGAGTAGAACTGTCTGAGTGGTGTCAGATAGCCAAATCAGTATTATTTCACATGCTAATCGTTTTCTCAGTCGACTCTATTTTGTTGTATTTTAAAAACACCCATGATGATTAGTTAGTGTAAAAGTTAGTCGAAGAGTCAAGAAATAAAACTGGGACCAAAACTCTGTTGGTAGTTCCGAGTTCCAATTTATTATTAAGAATAAAACTAGATCAGTCATCTGAAGATCACTGTTCTACTGCTCTTATGGCATCGTAGGTCTTATTTTAACTTTAGTCATCTTTTCTGTACATTATAGTCGGTTTACCAATCAAGACTGTTTCAGGTACGAAAAGAATATGACACAAAGACTACAAATCATATACTTTAGTTGTATATGCAGGTTTTTATCACTTGGCTAGTAGTAAAAGTCCTATAAATTATCAATTATATTACTGATCCTGTGGGATCATAGTCTTTATTGTTTTTAATCACATTTATTTACTTAAAATTCACGACTACACTCTTTAAAAATGCGAATAGGACGACGTAAGTGATGGAGAGATATGTTGAAGGATTGTGTTTCACTTACAGAGAATGCTTCTTTTAAACCGTTTATTTAACATTTAACCATTATGTAACCAGTTGCACAAAGTTTCTTAACCAATACTGATCATTATCTTATTACTCAAAAGTGACAGTCGTTTTCTAATCTGAGTAAATTTTTGGAGTACTTGTAATTTATTGTATTGTGGTCTTATTATTTACCTTTACAAACACGTGAACATTAAATTCTAAAGAAAATATGAGAACTAAAGTAAGTCAGGTGGAAGAATTTGATGATACTGACTTTCTTCCTGTTCTATGAATAACTCGTGTGTGTGTGCGTGTATCTGCTAGACAGAAGTCAAGCAAACCTGATATTTGAACTCTCAAGTACGCTGTAGTTATAATGTACTGAGTTAGTTTTGGAGTGGAAATGTAATTTTTATGATGTTCTATAAACTATCATCCAACAAGCAGATATTAACACCAACTGATACCACTTACAATTCCATCATAACTAATAAAATACTGAAGTGATAACCTTTGGTAAAAAATAAATACTTTTCTAGTTTTCGTTTCCCCTATTTTAAAACAAGCAATAAAGGTTAATAAAGCAGGATTTAATGAATTCATCAAATTTCGGTAGAATTCGTCAGCTGAATACTCTACATACACGGATATATACTTTTGAAATTACATTGGGAGATATAGGACTGATAAGTAAATAAACTACATTGAATTAGTCATGCAGTCATCCCCTATTGTATATCTCACACGGATGATTTTTTGGAAACAAAAAAGGCTAGATGGTCAGAATGTACTGTAACGTTGGCTCATTCTTTTCTTTCATTTGGTTCCATTTATTTTTGGGCAAACAAGCAAAACTATTATGAAAGCATGGCTTGAGAATTCTGCTGTATCAACAGAACACAAGAGGATTTGGCCACTCGATGTACAGATATAAGTAAAATACCTCTACCGTATATGTTAAAATCACAGTTTTCATATATCTTCCGCATTGTGCTTCTTTGTCTTCCTTTTATGTTTTCTATGTTGTTTCACAAGTATCGTTCACTTCTTTTCTTCGCCATTAAATCCATCTCTCTTCTATCTGATATCCTTGCAGGTGATATACATATTTATATTTGCACATATATACTACTTACAAATCATGTCAGTAGCACACGCAACACTGGTATAATACTGCTCTGTTTTAATTTACTTGTTAGATATACGACGCAGTGAAACAGTATCATCTACTCGATAAAGTTTTGGTAGTCAAATAAAATTAGATCACCCTATTTAATTGTGATTAACTTAAAGACTCTTATTCTGAAGAACAAGAGTCAGTTGTTGATTTGCAGGGTATTTTGTAAATTATATTATTTTATTTAATTGGGTCCACCGGGTTTTTTAGCCTACAGAGCTTGTCTCTGAGTGAGTTTGTAGGTTTGAATGCCACCCTAATTCCTGCTTTATTAAGAATCCTATGTAGGGTCTCAGATATCCCCTACTTATATAGTATAACAGTGGATGAATTATATTCTCTCTTATTTATGTTATCACTACTAGTTTCACAATTATTTTTATTTTGCTTTTAGCCTTTTTCGATCTTCCTAATGAATTTTATAGGATAGTTATTTAACAGATTAAATTAATGTCTACAAAATGAAGGGATCAAAGAAGTATTAATGTATTTCTAGAACGTCTGAAAAGGAAATATTACTCAACAACTAATTTCAGTTCCATGCAGTTGGCAATAAACTGCACCTCTTGTGTGAGGGCTAGTGATGCTATTATCGAAGCTGCCCGTAGGTGGAGCGTGCTTCGAACCCGTTACCCAGTGGTTGAAAGTAGATTGCTTAGACCAATAACCTCCAGCTCCAGAAAAGGACCTAACTACGGATATTTTCCAATCTAGAAGTTTAACTAAATACCGTTTTGGTTAACGTTTATAGTGAACTGTAGCACTTTATGATTATGAATTTCAATTTGAACAATATATTTGGCATTTTTCAACCAACACTAACACTGTGAGTTACATCACTACTGAAAACAAAATGAAACCTACAGTGAAAGCCGACAGACTCAAGGGGTGAAACGTACATTATTTTTTTTATATATATACCCAATTATATATTTGGAATAACACAGTGGATTCTTAACTCCTCTTAATTTCTTTTTTCAGTGATCTGGTTATTCTGTAATCTACTGGTTTTATTTTCTGAACGTCTAGTGAAATGGGTGTACCTTTATACTGACTTTGGATTAGAATTAGTAAGTTTTTGGTAACACAAAGTAATATTTATACCAGTTAACATCATTCATAATACATAAGTTATGTCAAAGACAGTTTAAGTGTTTTATTTATGTAATTTCATCCACAAAGGATATAATTTAGCTATCTCTACATCTTATTTCATCCGGTGTTTTAATCAACATACGGAATATTTGTACAGATGTTCTCATAACTTGGTTTTCTTATCCTACTACTGGTAATTAAATGAACAATCGAATTCGACAGATACACAGAAAGAGAAACTCGGCTTCCGATTACTTCTGTGTACGATTAGAAAAACTGTTGCACTATCTTCATAATACGCTCCACATATTTGAAATGTTATATTGGCAAACACTCAAAATCTCTTTGTTTGTCAGTATTTAAAAAAAAGTTGAAATGCCACTTCTGTCATGAAACAATGTATAACCATTTAATCCCATCTACACTTGCAGTGAACATTTACCACTAATGACTTCAGTTGCAATGACCAGTCACAAACTCATGACTGGATTAGTAGTGTCATAAGCCTCAAGAAGAGGGAGAAAATATTAAAAGGATATCCAGATTTAAAGCAAAGATTTATCCAAAAAAGCTCATTAATGAATAAGTATTTGTAGTGTTCGAGTGGTGTAATATGTTGGTATAGAGACAGTGATACGCAGCGGACACCTCAACTGACTGCCGAATACAACTATTATCCCTTAATATCCTCTGATTTACTGTGCCACGGAAATGTCAGAAAACAGCGACTGGCCTATAACTATGAGGACAACTTTATTCGACAAAAGTATATATATATATATATATATAAGGTGAGGTGGGTGTTGAAATAAATGAATCTGATTGGTTATATCAGAAGGTCAATAATTTGAATGTACGTGGTGGAGGACTGTCCAGCAAAATTACCTTTGTTAACAAACCAACATAAATTCAAATTCTAGACACAAAATCTTTAAACTCTGTAGCCAAAGGCTTAAAATGTCGATTCTAACTTTAGCCTCTTACTATCACTATTGAAAATATAGGTTAGTTTAATAGTATTCCCCCTGATTAAGGTACTTCGTATCTAGTTGCGTCAGCATAACGCTATTTTATCTCATATTTCTCGTATCATGACCGTTTAGTTTTAATATATCGGGTGTGCGCCGGCAGGGGATCGAACCCCGGACCATGTGCATTGTCGGCGAGAGTCCTAACCACTGTGCCACCGACGCACTGATTAATACTGTTCATCGTGCCATTTAAAAATTTACCTTCCATGTAACCATTTCATATCGGAGCAAACTATAGTTAGAGCTGATAATTCTTCATTTCTTATTTGTTCATTAGTTTTAGTAACTGCTTTCTCTGATGTTTCCAAATGTGCTTTCCGAAAATGTCAACTGTATATTCAACTAATTTTGTCCGTAAAGATCGAATATTATTCGTCCTTTGTACCAACAACTTATTATGCTTGAAATGCGCGAAGCGTTCTGATTCGCCTTAAGTACCTTCTTAGGCTTGTGTACACAATTACGTTGGATTGTAAAATTAATGTTAATTTTCATTCAGATCCTAAATAACTCATGTCTTGTAATGAAGTGACCAAGTAATACGAAAATTGTGGTTTCACCTGATTGATACGTTACAGCTTTAGAAGACAACCGTTTTATACCCACAAAACGTTGATACAACAATGCATAGATCGTTACTAGTATAGTGCTTCCATACTGCTGACGAGACACAGAAAGTAGATTTAGAAGGTTAATTTTGTTCCATGAGGGAAAAGTCGAATGATAACAGAAAATATAGCAATTCATATAATTATTTTACAGAACCAATAGTTACCGTGTTTATACATAATAATAGGCCTTCTCATTGGTCAACAATGTGTTAATAGAATTTGAGTAAAACCTTTGATCTGAGTTGAAGACGAATATTAATCCCATAGCTTACACTAGAAACACTGACCAATGGTCTTCTGTCCGTCATGATATGTGAATATTCATAAACGTAATTTAGTGAATATATAAAAATCAATATGCATTACAAACCACATTTCACTGTTACTATTTCGGAATCTTTTTGTCCTCAGTGCAATAATCCGTGGTCATATTCAGTTTTAATAGGATGCTTATATAAAAACCATATCGTACAAAATGCCTCATAATTGTACTAAAAGTGATTTCTGATTTCACATAAACTATTTAAGCGTCATCATCTTTCCGCTGAGTGGATCCGACGTTTATCATTGCTACTCTGTGCAATAAGTGGAATTTTTTCAGTCTTGGGGAACTTTTACTTTCTTATTGGATTCAAAGCTGCTAATCAATTGTCAAAATGGGTGGTATATGACCCAAGTGAGTTGAAAATTTTACAATATTTTCATTTGATTAGATAATAGAAATTTTCAACTTGTTATGTAGGTAACGTAAAACAAATTTTATTCTTTCTGATGAGTGTTTGACTTAACTTACAATAGCCTACGGCTAAAATTTGTTACTTTACGCATTATCTGATATCACTTATTACTTTCTAGTGGCCGGCGGAGATAGATTTCAATAAAAAAATAGAGTAAAATACGGAATCGTAGCCTGAGTAAATGTTGTTCTCTCAGTAATATAAAAATTTTTATTTAAATTGTAGAGCAGAAGAGTCAGCACTACCAATGTCTTCACAGTCAAGAAATTTATGTTTAACAGTATCTCACTAGAGCTTAGAATTTTGATGACAACTAGTTCGATAGCCATTAAGATTACACACCGAAAACGATAAAGGATGACACTTTTGTGTAATAATAAAAATATCTTTATTCTGAACAGTATTTGTAAAATGTACAGAATTTTCAGAGGAGTTTATTGCATGATATTTTCCCTTCGTACAATATCTTCAAGTAAAATATTAATTGACAATCCCAGCTAGCATTGACTTCGGGCGCACTGCAAAAAATTTGGGGCAGACTGCGGTGCGCCCAAAGGAAACGCTAGCTGGGGTACATCCTGTGACACAGTGGTCTCTGAGCTGAAGCACAAACCATTCCATTATGATATATCTGCTTTGTCTCCTTCAAGAAATCCACGAAATCTGGTTGAAAGCCAATTGTAAGATGTTCAGAAGTACATTTTGAGACCCAAGGATATAGCTGAAGAAAAATTATCCCATGTATTGGAACACGTTGCCACCCACAATCAGGCCATTCCTCAAGTTTAGTAGGAAATTGTGAATCAGAAGCTTGTAAACATTTTAAATACACACAAGAGTAGATAATACCATTAGAGGTCATATCTTGATCGATTAAAACAAACCGAACGAGAAAAAATATATACGATAGAGAGATGGAAGTTTTTGGTAGCCCAAGTTTTAAGCAGGCCGCCAATGTTTACCGCTTTTGGAAACCATGGTATTTAAAAATTGGATTACAGGAATTATTAAAAAGAAGGTTGCAGAGAAGAAAATTTTCTTTTCGACGAAGTCATCCACTAGGCTGTACATTCGTGTATTTATAGTAAGTAAATGTACGAGAAAGTTCCAGAATTATTTCCGGTCAAAGGTTAAATTAATAAAATTACAAAGTGTAATAATCAGGAAGATCTTTTTTAAGAAATAATTACTGAAAAACTTGACTGTTTGTACAATTATGGACTAACGACGTAGTAATAACAAAATAGGTAGGAAGTTCGGATATAAAAACAAAACAATGAACAAACAAATCTAGCAATACAGATAGGAATTAAAAGAGTAAAAATAACAGAAATTAACAGGGAGGTTAGATAAGAAAGGTAATAGGATAATCATTATTGATGGGACTGACTTTTCATGATGGCCACGGTAGGGACAACGGTTGGATGTATTTCTTAAGAACACATAGCGTGGGCTTGAGTTTTTGGATTGCTAGTGCCTCAGCTATTCCTAGATGCCTTGATTTCACTCCCTTTGATAGGTTTGTATATGACTTTGAAGGACTTTTCAAAAGAAGCTGAATGTCTTGAACTCATCAGAGGTTCTGTTACCGAACTGCATACACCCTTGCGTTATACCATGCTGGATAGTGTTCCCGGGCGCGTTTTGGAAAATGTCGAAAATTTAGTTCTGATTCAGTAAATCAGGTATATATAGAGTGCAACCTACTAAAGATACACCTAAAAGGAATTAATATAGTGTACTTGTGGAATCTGATTTGTTCACAGATTTCTTAATCTTCACAGCTAATACTAAGGGTCCAGAGTCTGTTTTCAAACTCTATTTGTTTCCGAAATATACAAATACTACTTTAGCATACTTGTTAGACAAACAAAGACACACTGCATACTGTTAATGTGCAAAATACAATGTTTGCTCTGAGTCATGCTTACATCACAAGGTTAGCCTAAGATGGTGGGCGTGTACACAAAGGTAATTAGAAATTCATATGATGGTCTAATTGTAAGTCATAGACAGACAGACAGACTGTCAGGCTAATTATCTGCACAGTATTAATTTAAGTGACACAACTGGTTATGAAATATAACATTTTCCTAATCAATACAGATATTTTAATGACATGAGAATTCGGTGAATCATAGCCAATTGACCAACTAACATTTAGACTCCCATTTAGCAGCTTATCTCCTTTGTTAAAGTATATTGATAAGCTAATAGTAGAAGAATTCAATGGGTTTCCAATATGATTGACAAACGTATAAAAAGTTTTAATTGGCTTGTCGAAGAAAGAGATTGTGGTGATAATTTGAAACTGACACACTACTTTCAGCAATGCATTGGACCAACAAAAGAAACTAAGTAACATTTCGCTACGCACTAACAAAGTTTACAAAAAGCCACTGCAGATATTGATTGGACTTCACGAAGCAGCAAACCCCTCATTTAAGACGTGAGTATCGGTTTGGGTTTACATTATAAAGAAATTGCTCGGTTGCGAGGACTTCTTAAGCAAGTAATCGCAATAGCTGAGTCTTTTTATGTTTAACCAGGCTAACCAAGTAATTATACTCCAACGGTCTATATTTTGACTTCAAAATGACATTACTCTATAATTTTGCCTTGAAATGAGTTTATAGGTTTGAACACATCATACAATTTGATAAAAAAAACTTTTAAACTTCTTTCAAACTATAGCGATACCATAAATGTCTTGATGCCCTTCATCTTGGTGTTAAGTCATACAGGGACGAATACTTACCATATAATATATACTTGAGTAACGATCTCCTGCAGTATTTATATATTCTTACAATAAGGAAGTTCAACTCATATATTAGTAAAGAAGAAAATCATAGAACACCTAAAGTCTAAATGGTAAGACGCTCGCTTGTTAACTTTAAGACCTCGGGTTCTATCCGTTGCATAGTCCTAGTCGGAGAGTTGTACACCCACAAAGAACCATTATTCCGTGTTCCTTTGTCGTCAGCAGTTTACTAGCTGATTCACGTTATTAATGTAGCCTACCTTCAACTTGACGTACATTTCAAATCTGATTTTCTTATTTGCTTTTTAGCTTTGCGCCTCACCTTGTTCGTATTTGCTTATTGCCACTTAAATCTGGTCACAGATTTACGGAGTCTATTCCCATCACTTCGACCACAGTCTGGGAAGAGATTCACTCATATGCAGAAGAAATGATGTTTGTATGTCACTTTTTCTACTGATTTAGATATGATTTTAATATTATTTAATGAACTCACAAATATAAAAGTTCTGATAATATTTATAGTTGTTATATTACTTTCAAATCATATAAAGGCTTTAATCGCTATGGTTCAAGTCATATTCCACAATGTTCGCATTTATGTGACTAAAGTAATTGATTTTCCCGCTGCAATATGGATTACGACACTTTAGCTGTCACTGTTGGTGCTAACTCGATCACAGATCAATTAACCCAGTAGAAGAAGCCAAGCAAATAGATTATTAGTTGTTGTGCTAAACAGATATCCTAAAGAATAATAACACATCATATAATTAAGAACAAATAAGTGAGCAAAGAGAGCTCTTTTCGTGTTTGTGAAATTTTTTTCTTCCTTCACTTTCCCCAGTGGAACACAGGGCTTCAAGTTAGGGGCTTGAAGTTTCTGTAGCAGTGTTTATTTTTACAGTATGGGGTTGCTGGACTCATGCCCAACCTCCCCTCTTCACCAGCATTATTTCTGGCTTAGCGAGGTAAAGGAGCGCCTCGGCCGGGGATCGAACCCCAGACAATTTGCATGGTTGGCGAGCGTCCTAATCACTATGCCACCGACGCATGAATTGAATCACATGAAAATCTTTCATACTTTAAAAAAACATGATATCTGTAGCATTTGCTAAAACGGTCACTAAGTGAGTTATCTGATTAATTCGCTCATCAATAAAATGATTGTTAATTATTTGGAGATAAATTTTTAGGAAAATAATTTTGTTTTACAACTCTTGAAACACTATTACTGTTTTCAAACGATTCTGAACTGCAGTCCACCTGACAAAGTGTAGGCAGTTGAGTATTATCACTGACGCCTGTAGTAAATATTTCTCATATAATTGTCAATTTAACTGTACATTATAGCATTTTGCAGTATCGTGAATGACAGTAAACCACTCAGCTGTCTGTTTTCGACATAGAACTTTGCACATATGTGCGGCAGTTCAAGTCGCCACACTCCATGTAGCACACAAAGCAAGAGAAGAAATTAGGAGAAATGCATAATATAGACAGTAAACAGAGGTGTGAGACAAAGGAATAGTAATAACGGAGAACAAAAAAGTTTCATTGGAAATCATAAGTCACAAGGAGTGGATGCATCTGCGCCATTGAGAACGATTTTGAGCCATGTCACCAATTGTTTCCAACCATTGGTTTTTACCGTCCCGAGGACCCCAACCAGGAAGTCTACACCTTCCTACGTGGCTTAGACTAACTGTTGTAGATTTCATTGACTGGTGCCATGTTTTCGTTTGACCGCCGCTAGCTCTTTTCCAGCCTGACCCTATATCAGCTAACATTACCCGTCGAGGAAGGCGATGACTAGGCATACGTAGCACATGTCCTAACCATCTCAGTCGAAGTAATTTCACAGCCTCGTCGACTGATTTCCCCTCCTTACCTAGCACTCGACGCCTAACCTCAATATTGCTCACCTTATCATACCACTTCACACGGGAGATAGAACGCAGACACCTATGATCAAAGACAGCTAATATTTTCATGTCTTCCGCTCTCAATGGCCAGGTCTCACAGCCATAAAGGAGGACGGAGCGGACTGTTGAGCAGTACACACGCCCTTTGGTCGATAGTAGGATGTCACGTCTACGCCAGAGACGGCGTAAAATGGCATATGCGAAACTAGCCCTCTGTATTCGTGCTGAGATTTCGTCAGAGATCAACCCGTTGGGGCTGATGGTACTTCCCAAGTAAGTGAAGCGGTCAACGTGCTCTACCACTTCACTTCCTATTTCTAATCTAGGAGTCGGTGTAGTCCAATCCTGCAACATCATCCTACATTTTACAGGGGCGAATCGCATGCCAAACATACGAAGATTGCTGCTCAAGGTGTTCAGAAGACTCTGCATTTTGTCAGCGTCCTCGCCTAGAAGGACTATATCGTATGCATATTCTAAGTCAACCACTCAGCATCCCTTTGAACTCAAATGAACGGAGTTTTTAAAAGATAAATTATAGCTGTCGATAAAGATCCTACCGTAATAAACTGTTACCTACAATGAAAACTATTGTGCAATTCGGATCTACTGATTTCACCCTCCCCCCCCAACATTTATGACAACATATAGCGATATTAAATTACTTATCTTATTCGATCAATAGTTTTCGATTGCCACGGAGATATTCATCAGTTATTAACAATGTAGATACATATATCAGTAATGAATTTCAGTTTCTCAGTGATTACAATCTGAGCACTGGTTAGGAGTTCAATTGTTTTGTGAAGAAATGGTACGCTTTGTAATCAATGGCACTTTTATTTATAAACGCTACGGTATTATTGTTTAGACAAGAATTGAAATTTTCTCTTTGACAAAAATTCAACAGTTTTTGATGTAGTTGTGTTCTCTGAGCAGGATGGTTTATTTGCGAAGCTTTCATTGCCCTACTAGGCAACATATTCAGCGCATACTTCAATTTGAACTAAGCTTTTAGATTTCTCCACGAGTTTATTAGTCATCTCTCCTGGTGGCCTTGAACGTGATTGGTTGTTTTCGTGTGTTTTCACATCCTCTAGACTACTTGTATTGGTACTGATTGTTTCCTTAACCTGAAGTTTGACCCTTTGTGTGTGAGATTTCTTTTATCCTTCAATAGTTTACTTAAACACACTTGCGAAAGTGAACTTTTACAGGATGTTGTTTTGTTGCTCATGAGCCGAAATTTTACACCCCAATCTAAGTATCATTTCCCCAATACTGCTTGATGATAAGCTAACAGTTTTATCATTTACAATAGATAGTAAAGTAGAAGATTATCATCTTATACCGATTCAATCGTCCAAAAAGAAAATGTTAACCTTATCCCCAGACGTTTAACTATACAAACTGATAGACACACCAAGCAAGAGTACATAACAACGGAAAAGTCACTAAATAAATCATTGTTTATTGTCTGATCACTCAGAGTATAGAGGTATTCATCATATAAAAAACTGTCATTTGAAAAAGTATTGAAAGATGCCGGAAAACTTGTAATCATCAGTACTTGACCGTAATTATTCCAATCTTTAACAGTAGGTTTTACCTTCAGCTGATGCTTCGGTAATCCATCTAAAAACAGGAAACACGCATCATTATAAGGATTACTATTTCAAAACACATTATCTACATGTGGCTGTAAAAATTGCGATATATACTCTGACAGACCTTCAAGAAAGTGTCAGTAGATTTCAGCAGCTTTCTAGAAATTAACAAATGCATGAGAATGCATTGCCACAAACTCTAAGCACAGTGAAGTGCGAAGACGCCTTAAATATATAGCACCAGCGGAAACTAAAGATATGAAGAAGGCATTGGCCGACTAACGAAACAACGCATAACTTTGCACATAAGTACATTGGTGCAAGAAATACAAAATAAGGAAACAAAGAAGCAATGATACTACAAGAGACGAATATGAGTATGACAAAAACTGTTATTAAATGAAGACTGGTGAATATTTCCCCAATATAGAGGATGACAAGAAGTGAATACACGTATGCCATTGTGAATGCAGTGGCGATAAATAATAGAAGATGCTCAATTAGATTGATGAGTAAGACCAGCTTAAAAAAAACTAGAGTTTAATGAAACTCTAACTATGGCCAGATTACTGGTTCATTCATAATGGAGCCAATTGGATCAATGAGGAGAAGAAGAACAGTTCATTTGGACTCCGAGATTTTTCAGCCATAGTCTAAACGAGAAACTCAACTAGCAAAGACAGATTTCTCATGTACTAGTCTATGAACCACACTTATTATGTAAGGGCTGGTTATACTACTCAGTTGCCGAGAATAAATTAGGTATAGCAGGATTTGAACCCAGGCCCCACTGACTGAAAGTCATTAGACTAAGCCAATGAATCACGAGAAAATAAGGTTAGTTTCAAACTTTTCCATGGGTGAATCTACCTGGTATTCACTCCTTATCAGAGACTGGTAAAACGATGAGTCAGAAATTAACAGTATTTCTTGACCTAAGGGCGGTAGCTGTTTCCGTTTGTGAAAACACCACATGACAGTGTCTTCACTGACAAGGTTACCTGTTAGTTAGTATGGTTAGCTTCCTCGTGAGGTGTATATATCCAATTGTATCTAACATTATCATATGTATGTTTTTGGAGATTTACAGCTGCACATATGACTCTGTAGGGATTAGCTTCTAGGCAGAAGATACCTTGGTGAAATTAAAATATACGGAAGACATATCTCTTTTGGGTTGCAACAACGAAACGGCACGAAGACTAATACACACAATGATTAGTAATTTTAAAATGTCTAGATTGCGTTGTTCCACTTTCTAAATGTCAACTACTGCTTGATAGTATGGGAAATGAAGTGAGTGAGTCGACAATTTTCATAATTTGGGAAATCATGTCAACTCTGGTAGGTTGGTAGCTAACAGAATCTCTCCACGAATACAGAAGGTTAATTTAACTTTTACTAAACCGCACCACTTATAGTCCAGGCAAAATAAACGATTGCCTACATATGCGTCAGGTTCACTGTACATAAACAGGCTCTATCCCGATGTGTGTTTATGAGACATGCCAATTAAAGCTAGAGAACACATAGAAACCTCGGGTTTTTGACCTCTATTTGGTGGAGGCACTACGTGAGCAATGTATATGTTAGACGTATATGTTTAGGTAGGGTGGGTTAAATCAAGTGAAGAATTTGTAATCTTCATCAACTGAGGTGACTGAGAAATATGTTTTGCACTATTTTGCTGAAAATAGTACTAGGTTAGAAGAAAGTGAAGAGTGACTAGACTAAGACATTATACCTGTCGATTAAGCTGTCTACTGATGGTCTGAGCTGTGTAGCGATGAGCAGCTGACTGACTGCAGTTCACTTTGTCGCTGGAAACTCTAGTTGAAAACCCTAAGTTATATGGCCCATAATCGATTGCAGTGTTGTAGATGCTTTATGCTTTACGCTCACGTGTATGGATAATCCATAAAGCGACATTTCAAAACTACATCAATTATAGATTCAATGCATACTTCAAGCCTGTTTTTTGGAAAATGAAAGTCTAAAAAAATCCTACATAAAACGTAATGAGCTATTCTGTGGACAAAACTTACGGACTTGAAATTAACTTTGAAAGTGCTTCTGATCCCCAAAATGCGGAACCTTGATGCCATAAAGAACTACAAAATCCCCATTGTTTCGAATTCTTTTCTTCTCCATTATTGAAATAATCTAAAGAATGTGAAGTGGTGGATTTCACTGGCAGAAACTGAGTTATACGATGGAACTGCAAAATACTAGGCACAGATGTAGGTGGTTTCAACTGAAATATAAATACAAAAACTTCTCATTAACTAGTTGGTCATTATATCAAAAACTTGATCTTACAGATAAGTATAAGTGATTACAAACTATGCCTAAAGAAATCTTTTCGATGAGAAAACAGTTTACATAGATATTGTGATGGGAAAACGGCATACATAATTTAAGACATATAGGTAATATATAAAATGCAGTGGAACATTTATTAAATTATTATTATTATTGTTCCCTTGGGTTCCTAGTGGAACATAGGGCTTCAACTGCACGTCTCCACTTGCTTCTGTCTTCTGCTGTACTTTTCACTTGCATCCATGTTAGTCCATACTGTTTCAACTCTTCTTCACACGATCTCCTCCATGTCACCCTTGGACGTCCCACTCGCCGCTTCCCTTTCGGGTTCCACTCGAGCTATGGCCTGACGCGCGATGTCACCCAACGGCCTCCTCAGCAAGTGTCCAATCCATCTCCAATTTCTCCTGCATATTTGTTGGGCGATTGGTTCTTGTTTCGTTTGTTCCCATAGCTTCTTGTTGGTGATTCTTTCCGGCCATCTGATCTTCAGTATAGAACGAAGACAGTTGTTGATAAAGGTCTGCAACAGGCTGTTGGAAATATTCTTGGTGACCCGCCAAGTTTCTGATCCGTATAGCAAAACTGACTTCACGTTTGTATTGAAAATCCGAATTTTGTTGTTGATGCAGGCTGAGTGACGAAGATTTCCAGATTGGTTTCAGGTTGATGAATGTGTTTCTCGCCTTCCCGATTCTCGATTTGACATCTTCGTCCGTTCCTCCTGTGGTTGAGACAATGCTCTCTAGATAAGTGAAAGAAGTAACCTCTTTCAAATCCCTCCCGTTGATGATTGGCGCTGGATGTTGCTGCTGTTGTTGGTTGGTTGGTTATTTTCATAACCTCCGTCTTGTCTATGTTCACCACATTTATTAAATACAACAGACAAATTAGTACATTGCACTTTTGTAGGTTTAACGCCACGCACTGAAACTTGCAATTGTGTCGACTGAGATGAACGGATGAAACTTACAACAAGTGTGTCGATTTGAGTTCTTATACTAGAAACTATATAGTGACGACAACAAACGAATCATTTGAGATTCTTGCAGTAAAATTTGTTGCTTAGTAGGGCAATGTATGGCAATTTCGTACTATTTTTAGCCTCTAAGTTTAGCTTTCATGGTTGCGTGAGGAATCATAGTGAAATAGTTGTTTATGTCAGTCACGTCCACCCTAATAAACGAATAGATTTTAGCCACTGGTCGGAATATAATTCCATAATAAGTTTATTCAGTGTAATACGGTGTTAACAATTATTAAATGCAAACAATTTATAATTCTTTGTAATGTTATGTGTATTAAAGTATGAGACAAACAAAAGTAGGATAGACATACAGTACACAGTGATGCAAAAATATGCTGGGTGACACAAGAAAGTGGTGAGTGCAGTATATGAGTATGCAGATAAACGACCTCTAGATCAATATTGAACCATTTCATATACAGCTAGCTACCCATTCGACGCGTTTCCGTGATACTATCGAAGAGGACAGAGTTCCTTCGAGTTTGCAATGTTTGTCATACACTTCTTGTATGGATGTCGTGTTCTGCATATACATCGATGGAGATAATAGATAAGCATTCAAAAAATCTCCCAAGCATCTTAATCGAGACATGTTTGTAAACTCACCATTAAATAGAACAGTAAAACGTTACAATTTTCTAATAAACACGTGGAAATGACTACATTTGGTCAACTGAGTATTCTAAACTGATTAGAAGATCTCTTCCTCGACGGGCAATGTTAGCTGATATAGGGTCAGGCTGGAAAAGAGCTAGCGGCGGTCAAACGAAAACATGGCACCAATCAATGAAATCTACAACAGTTAGTCTAAGCCACGTAGGAAGGTGTAGACTTCCTGACTGGTTGGGGTCCTCGGGATGGTAAAAACCAATGGTTGGAAACAATTGGTGACATGGCTCAAAATCGTTGTCAATGGCGTAGATGCATCCACTCCTTGTGACTCATGATTTCCAGTGAAACTGTTTTGTTCTTCGTTATTACTATTCCTTTGTCTCACACCTCTATTTACTGTTTATATTATGCATTTCTCCTAATTTCTTCTCTTGCTTTGTGTGCTACATGTGGGGAGTGTGGCGACTTGAACTGCCGCACATATGTGCAAAGTTCTATGTCGAAAACCAACCGACCGACCGAGAAGATCTCTTGATTTTAAATAAATCCATGTGAATCCAACATAAGAAACAGTTACCTATAGAAGTATATCTGTGACAAAATGAAACAAAAACAATGTGGACTATACTCACAGAAACAATCACTTCACCGTGAGTCCTTATGCAACCACAAAAGCTAAGCCTAGAAATGAGAAAACTGTAGTACGTCCCTCTATTTAGCAACGATTTTATGAGACTTCTTAACTGATGGGACCAAATGACTATCTGTAATATAATTAAGTAACCTAAAGTTAAATAGGTGTAATGGTCCGATCAAAAGGTCGTTTTTGAACCTGAAACCTTTTCTTCATGTGTGCTGTTTTCAACAACTACTTAAGTTTCAAGGGTTTACGCAATCTACAATTAGTTAGATTATAACAGTAAGTTTGATTCTAAAAGCAAACAGTCTACATGCTTCTAGGGACACGCAATACAAGCATATCTAATGTCCCTAACGCGCTAAATTGCTCATTCTTAGTTGAGTTAAACAGTTAATATATTAATGTTGAACTAAGTTTCCAGAATAGTTAATAAGACGTCATCCCAAATAACTGTCAGGATGAAGGGGAGACATAACTAGTCAGTGTTTTCCATGTAACTTATGGATTAAACACACTCGGCCTGAACCTAGATCAGAGGTTGTGTCATTGAATTTTTGTTGATGCGTAGTAAACTTGTTAGAACAAAGTTTTTCTATACCAAACCTGTACGTTATTGGTCATGTAAACGAACTATATAAATGACTATAACTTGTGGTAATCTTAGCGTTTTGTGGAAGAATAAGCCCATCCTTCTCAGAGTGAAAATAGGATTCGAGTTTTCAATCATGTACTATCGTGTGTTGAAGTATTATAGTTACTTCAACAAGAATTATAGACTTCTTGTCTGACTGCGGATAGATCCTTAAATTATTCCACTATAACAATGTTACATGCATCTGACTACGTCTTTCTGAAATCAGGATGTATGAGTGCTTAACTATTATGAGTAGCAACCTTTCAGCAACACAATCTAAATTCATTACAGTTTTGTTCATGGTTCTCTATATCTCAGTGCTTTTATTAACTATATCAAACTGAAACCATCAATCAACTTTGCGATTTTCAACTACACCATCATTTTAAAGTAAGCATTAAGAAATGATAACGAATTTATAAATGCTAGAAGAGTCACCTAACGATAACTGTACAGCAAGATTGGCATACTTGACATAGAACTCTACCACAAAGACTATTGGTAGCTTGATTTTTAGGTTGACATAAACTTTGAATTACTTCTCCATTTGTTTTGAGTTCATGTGGACACACGGAATCAGGAGGTGGAAAACCAAGACATAAGTTAATATCATCACCGCGAAACATTATTCCTTCAGGATAGTGTTCCAATCCAAAACAATGACCTAATTCATGCCAAACAGCTCCTAATCCAGTTGAGAAGGCTGCCCAAAATGTGTGTCTGAAAAAAAAACCCAGAGGAAACATGACAAAATGTATTAAGAAACAAGTCCAGTGAAATAAATATTCAAGGCAATAGATATACGTAAAGAAATAGACACTGTACACAACCGTGCACTTCATCATTATGCTACCTTGACGTGGTGGTCGGGCTTGAACACTGCAATGACCCAACAAGCTATACTGGCTGAAACTTATGTTCCTGCAGGTCCTACCATGCCAGAAAGGTTGTTTGGATAGCGGTTAGACTGAAAGCAGTTACCCAATCCAATCCTATGACTTCAAATAAATCACAAAATATCATGCCAGATCGGTCGGGGCCCGGATTAACAACGACCGCGCTTTCTGCTGCCGTGTCACAGGGCAGAAGTGATAAATACGCTACTGAGACACACCGAATAAAAAAGAACAAACAAAAACAGGCCGTGTGTGACCGGCCTCAAGCAGTTGTCCCCTGGGCTCTGCGGTCACGCAACCAACTTCCACGGTGTGGGCAGCCGGGAAGTAACAATCGCCCTCACAATCCGAAGTTGTGTGGCGACTTGAACTGCCGCACATGTGTGCAAAGTTCTATGTCGAAAACTGACCGACCGATCATCATGCTTAATTATGTAAACTCATAAAGGTCTCAATCAATGGGTTGTACAGTTTTCTCCCATTATGATTCCACTCAACTGTGGATTAGAAATGATACAAACTATAGCAGATTCGTAACCACACTGTAAAACAGCACAACAGAATACGACTACAACGTACACACACACCAGTGCTTTGTGTGCAAAAGAAGCAAGTCCAGTCACTACTACTGCCCTGGCCTTCGGTAGAGACTATAAATTCATGAATTTGTATTATCATTATCTTTCCTAACTTTTCTGACATTCAGTTTATTGTTATGTTGATGCTATGGAAGTGTACTCTATTGATATTATTGATTCGATGTTATTTAAACAATATTAATGTTGTTCATAACACTAATTCATTCATTCACTATATTGTATATACAACTGTAGAGCCTGATGATGAAGTTATCGAAAAGAGTATTCTTTGTTCAGTAACTATCCTTTAGAAAATCAATAATCATCAAGAAAATACTACGAAGGAGAAAATCGGATGGTATTACTGTTTACTGATTAAAAAGATGCTTGCCTAAATAATCATAAGTTTTTCATTACTTTACTTCTCATAGTTATTGTTCCATACTTTACTTCTGTTCAGTTTCCCAGAAGTGTAAGAAAAACCTCCATCATAAGTAATGTTCTTAAGAAATTAAAGTTTTTTCTATCGACAGTAAGATGAATCAGCGTGAACACAGTAAGCACACAAGTGATTGTCCAACAGCTATGGATAGTGATTAGTTGGTTACTACTTTATTATAGAAAAAATCCCCATTCAGACATTTAGAAAACAGAAAGATTGAGCGAAGAAATATTTACTTTTCAATTAGATCCTCATCTCTGGCTCTACTCTAATATATATATATATATATATATATATATATGATTTGATAGTGTGGAAAATTCCCATATTATGAATTAAAGTCAATCTGAACGAAGAATATTCTTTTCAATAATTTCTCTTCAGGTTCTTACAATTATAAAATATAATATTTGTTGTCGTTACAATAAAGGCCAGTTATGTGGCAGATACATTTTTAACGTAGAATAACAGATTAGTTATGGGGTGTCAAAATAAATAGTCGTATTTGTGTGACAAACGTGCTAGGCTGAATTCGATTACAAAATAATGTAGAACGGGAGACAGTGGTGATTAATCATAATAGATTTGTAGAGTGTGGGGTAGGAAAATTGACAAGTCAGTACTCTGCACGTCTGTGTCTATCCTTCAGTAACCGTCCAATGTTCACCCAGCAACTCAAAGATGTCTTACCTAAGCTTAGCTCTTCTTCATGCATATACCATTTCAACTGTTCCTGTGGTTCAAGTTATATAGGGCGCACGATTAGGCAGGTTCGTCTACGGGTTCGAGAACATTTACCAGCTTAGTTCAGCAGGGGGGAAATTAAGTGCATAAAAAGCTCGATCCTCTCACACTTGGTCGATACTGGACATCGCGTCGATGTCAACACAGCTTTCAGGGTTATATACCGAATCCCGAAGTCGTTATCACGTACAGTTCGCTTACGTCTTCTACACAGCTGAAGCTGTTGCATTAAGATCGACTAAACCGGAACTTTTATCCAAAAAGAACACTCCAGACGCTGTTCACCGTGCCAAACTGGATTTTCTCTTCCACCAAAGTGTTTCCTTAATCTTTTTTGCTTATTATTACAATTATTATTATTTGTCATAATTTATGCCCTTCATGCAAACATTCTCTCAATACTATCGAATTTTTCGTTTATAATACCCGGACTTATTATTAGTGATATTATCTCTTTTCTCAATATATGCCTCTACTTGTTTCATTTCACATATTCGTTATTTCATTGTGAACCTCTCATTGCAGTGTTACTATCTCCTGTTTAACACAGACCACTTTGTACTAGCCACTCACCTGACACCTTTTATAACCTTGAACTGACTTGTCAATTTTCCTACCCCACACTCTACAAATCTATTATGATTAATCACCACTGTCTCCCGTTCTACATTATTTTGTAATCGAATTCAGCCTAGCACGTTTGTCACACAAATACGACCATTTATTTTGACACCCCATAACTAATCTGTTATTCTACGTTAAAAATGTATCTGCTGCATAACTGGCCTTTATTGTAACGACAAAAAATATTATATTTTATAATTGTAAGAACCTGAAGAGAAATTATTGAAAGGAATATTCTTCGTTCAGATTGACTTTTAATTCATAATATGGGAATTTTCCACACTATCAAATCATATATATATATATATATGCATTTTTATTACAATACACAACAGTTTACCAATCAAGTGGCGATAAGTATCTTTGTACCTTTGAAATATAAACGTAACCTAGTAAAGTGTCTGGTTCATAGAGCCAGGTTAATCTGTTCAGACGACTGCCTCAATGAGGAGCTTAGAATTACTTAAAAATGGTTATCCAGATAAATCCATTGAGAAAAATATGAATTCATCACCTAGGAGAGTCAGTATAGCAACAGTTTCGGAAAAACTAATGTTCATAAAACTGCAGTTCCTCGGTGACAACATCAGCGAAATAATAACACAGCGCCTGAAGAATGCAGTTAAAAGAGCTTATTATGCAGCAGAGCTACGTTGTCTCTTCACAACCACCCCTATTCTACTTTCGAGAAATAAGAATAAACTACCTAAATTCGCCTCCTCTATGTGTATCTACCAGTTTGACTGCAGCTGCAGAGCCAGCTACATTGGGCGTACAATTAGGCAGGTTCATCATCATATTTCCGAACATCATCCAACACGGTTAAGCAAAGGACAAACAAGATCTATTCGTGGCTCTATTTTAGCACACCTTGTAGATACTGAGCATAAGGTTGATGTTAATACAGCATTTAAAATTATCTATCGCATTCCTACTAATCTTAATTTTGCTCTACGAGTTCGTCTTCTACATACCACAGCTGAAGCAATAGGAATCCACCTGAAGAAGCCAAAACTGTGTGTTCAGAAGAAATTTGTGTAGCCACTTTCCTTGCCTTGGCCATCGTTACATGAATGTGTAAACCGGACTACTTCGTCCCCCCTCCCCCTAAACTTTTAAAATTATAAAAATTATAATTGTCTAAATTATTTTTCTGACCACTTCATCTTTAATTACGTGTTATCCTTGTAAAATTAATTTATTCTAACCATTTCTACCTTTTAAGTGTGTATTGATTTTCTTCGTTTATTATCAACCCATTGACATTTTGACACTGACTAATTATTGTTAACAAACATATCGCCACTTGTTTGGTAAACTTTGTGTACTGTAATAAAAATGCTATACAGAATATATTAGAGTAGAGCCAGAGATGAGGATCTAATTGAAAAGTAAATATTTCGTCTGTTTTCTAAATATTACTTTATTCTCATAGCAAGTTACTTTTATTAGCAAATGACTGAAATATAATGGTAGCAAGATTGACAAGTATTGACTAAATCCATTAATTATGGAGTATCTGTTACAAAATATATCAGACGATAAATAAGAACGGATTGTTGGCAGATGTTAAAAAACAGATAGACTAGACTGATCTATCTCGAAATTCCAGTTGGCTACACATAGGTCATAGGAACTACAACTTACCGATACGCGGTATCATCCATCAAAGTTGTGCTAATTAACCGAGTATCTTGCATCACTGACTGCAAATCTTCAATACTTTCTGGCCAAGCATGTAATGTTCCTGTCCCGAGTAGGGCTAAACCTCCTGTTCCTAAATAAAGGCAAGTAAATTGAATGTACCGTAGAATGACAGAAACAAAGCAGTTTACAGATATTTAGAAACTGATAATGAAATACATGGAGATAAGTTCAATACACAATTTTTATGGTTGTGTCCCTTTAATACAGTACTTTGCAAAACTAATGATATAAAGATATTTCGTATCGTCATAATGCATTCAAAATTTACTATTTTTTTTCCATTGTGCTTCAAACACAGTCTAACAGAAGTAGAAATCTCTGAAAAAAATATATAACACGGATACCAGATAATGAATAAGACTTCCCTGGTCAAAGACCATAGAATCTCACTTGTATTATATGCAGAGATGTAACTCATATCAGGAACTTTTACTCTCTCTCATCATTAACAGTTGGATAGACGAATGCTTTTGGCCTAGTAAATTACTGAATTTTATGCTATGCTGAGCTTTCTGCTTTGTAGAACAAATCATATAAAATTGGGTAATCGTGGTTTTGGTCTAAGGGTCAATTGTTGAATATGTTGTTACAGCTTCAGAGCCAAACAAGCACCAAAATGCATAACGCTTATGAATCTCATGCGGGTGTAATAGTTTGTATAAACTGAAACTTTGAATACGGACAGAAGACCATTGGTCAATGTTTTCAGAGTACACTACGCACTAAATTTTCGTCCTTAATCCAGACCGAAGGTTGTTATTCATATTCTATTAACACATTTTTGACTAATAGGAAGGCAGTTTTTATGTATAAACATAGTAACAACTGGTCATATAGAATAATTATATGAGTAGTTACATCTTCTGTTATCATTTGCTTTTCCCGTCTTGGGTTAAATTCAAACTTCTAAATCTGCTTTCTGTTTCAGCAGAAGTGTAGAAGCACTATACGAGTGCATTGTCGCGTCAAGGTGTTGTAGATGCACAATGGTTTCCTTCTAAATTCGTAACCGATCGGTTACGCAAAATCTCAGATCGAGTATCATTCCTTCACTTCAAGGAACAAAAACAATTAAGATCGATAGCCTATTTCTTTGAAATCTGGTGGTTGTGCGAAATTCGAAGTATTTCTTCGGGGGTGTTACAAAAATATCAACCGTCTGAATGACTCCTTTAACTCCTTTTTGAAGGAAGGTAAAGCATAATGACTTATGAACTTACAGGAAAACTTGTTACTACTGTTAACCATCTGGTTTAGCGCCAGTTAAAAACCTACTAGCAAACCTTGAGAAATTTACTTTTTCTAACCTTTCCCAGTCCTGGCTCAGGAATAACAAAGTATGAGTAAATCAAGGCAATTCAGCTGGTACTTAGCAAACATACATTTTTGAGCAACAAGTAATTATCCATACCTATTGTATGGGGACTAACAGTATGATAAAGCCTACAAAAAAAACACATTCATAATTCAACTTTATTTATAGGTATACATTGTATCACTTAGTGGCTTGTTTGTATCTACAACTTAGTGCTCAATATAACATATTAAGGACTTGTATCTTAAGTAGTTGAAGTTCACAATACGCACTGTAAGACGAAACGCCTTTTCCACACTTTTACTGTTAATCTTTACCAGTGGCTTAAATCAGATTTGAAATTTGACAGATCGCCATATATGCTATGGCGAAATAATGAAAATTACATAACTCAAGCATTTAATGTAAGAGCAGGATTTAAGCACAGTGATACAGTGCAGTTTTGAATTACATATGCTTATTTAACAAATCCCTCATCAATACAATACTACTAGCTATTTGATTTACTGAGTAAACATATAGAATTATTTTAAATTGCAGTATCCAATCCCTTTATTCTTTGAAATGTTGTTTAAAGATGTTTATTGATTCAGCTAGCCATATCTCAGAGATAAGTATATGAAGAAATTAACAAGCAAGGCAATCTTAAAAGTGTGTACTTACCAAGGGCGAAATGAGCTGTTGTGCGGTTAAGTATCTCATCATAACTAAGCGATTCAGTACTGCTTTTATTCATAGGATGATATCGTGTGCAAGCCATGAATGCGATCCATTTGGTGCAATTGAAATTATCAGGATATGTCTTATAAAGTTCGTACGCCAACTGCCTCCATACTTCTTCAGGAGTGCTATTGCTAACAAACTTTTTACTGAGACTTGAATAATGACACATACAGGAAACATGAGATGCTTGTGGAAAGCCTGGAGACAATTCTTCAACTAAGTTCTCTCCAGTCATAAAAGTGTATCTCTTGCCGAATTCAGAAAAAAACGCCTCTGCCGTTAAAGTCTGTAACAACCGGATTCCCAGTCCTATGCGTTTGCAGGCATTTTCTTTTGTAGACCCTACTCCTTCAGGAGCTTGAAACTCCCCAGTATCATCGGAACAAATTACATAAATAGGCCGAACTATAAATGACGAGTTATGATTATGTACATATACTATTCGGAATTCAGCGAGATGATGTTTACACTTCAATTGTAAAGTATTACATCCTGGAGATAGTGGTACAAACACTTTGAACATAGATTCGCATAGAGACCAACTAGTTTCCCAACTATTTGTATGGTCGTTGTGAACAGAGACTAGAATCGAAGGGCACTCACAGTAAGGGTTAATATTCCCCTTTAATTGGAAGAGTGGATAATTTACTAGAAGCAGGTCATAAGCATTGGATAAATTGAACATTGAGAAACCAAATGTAAGTTTCGAAAATATTCGCAAAATAAGAACTAATTTTTACTACAGCACTTGTCAATGGAAGCATTATTTACAGTTACATATGAGTAAAATTAAATATAAAGCAACTGCAACCGCCACAAGAAGTAATCATCAAGAATGGGAACTGCATCTGAAAATGAACAATAAAAAATAAATGGAAAGTTCCAGAACATATGCACAAATAGTTATATTCGTTATTTAACTGTTACTCAACAGCCACTTGAAATCCTATGCAGTTGGTAGTGAGCTACACCTATTTTGTGATTGCTAGTGATACTACTCGGTTGCCCAAATCTTGGTAGGTAGAGCGGGGTTCTAGTCTGTGGCCCATTGGTTGGAGGTCGAGCGCCTAGACTAATGAGTCACAGCTACATACACAAAAACTGAATTTAGGTTACATAAAAGCAAACTAGACACGGTGAAATCAATAGGATCTAATGATTTTCACCTAAGGCCAGTAAAGGAGTTGGCAGTTTACATAATAGATCCGTTGACTAATACCTTCAGGCTATTCCTCTCACGTTATTACCGTGTGATTGGAAGGATGCAATAGTAACCTCAATCCATAAGGGAGGATCTGTCCTCCAGCATTTTGATCAATATGTTGGAAAGAACTGTCACGGAAACTAGCTGTTGTCCAGTGCACAGCACGGAGAAAGCTATAGTGTTTAATTAACCTCCTAACAGCAATGGAAAGCTGGATCAAATCGAGGGACGACAAGAAACCAGTCGGGTTTTTTTAAGCAGGACTGCTCATGAAACAAGGAAGTTTTGGGATGATAGGCGGCCAGTTCAAATGGATCAAGGAATTTCTCGCAAGTAGGAGACAGATTCAGTATCAACTCGAAACTCTATTTGTGGACTACGGTATGTAGTGATGTACCACCAGGTACTGTACTCGGCCCCATCTCATTTATCCTGTATATCAAACAGTTACCTGGGTTTAACAAATATCCTATAGTTCTCTAAGCAGACGACGTAAAACTTAGTAGGGAGAGCTCACGGATGACAGATATACTTACGTAGTAAGTTTTATTTATTTATTTATTTATTTAAACGCATTAGAACTTGGTACAATATGGCACCAAGAAGGATGCGCCACACAATAATAATAAAACAACATAGATGAAAAAAAGGAAGGAAGGCAGGAAAAGAAAAAATATATATATAAGTAGAGAACGAATAAAGAACTTCATCTGGAAGGAAAACACTCATTCTTAACAGGTTCAAACAGTGTTCGCTAACTATCATCGGGAATGGAAGAAAGAAGGAAATCGCAACACATTCGCCATTGATTACGATTCTTGGCCATATCCGATAACGTTTCGAGCCATCGATTTGAGCTATCTCTCAGACCCCAACCAGGGAGTCGTTACACACCAACCGATGCTAATCTAGCACAGAAATCCTTCATCCCACGACGCCACGTCATGGGCTGACCACCTCTCCGCCTTTTCCATCCCGTCCCAGGGCTAGCGAACAGAGACCTGTACGGAAGCCTCTGGGGTGACATTCGCAGCACATGTCCAAGCCACCGGAGCCGGTGTTTCCAGATGACGACATTCAATGAATGGTGATCTCCACTGTGTTCAAACACACGCCGCCGAACCTCAGAATTACTCACGCGATGATGCCATCGAACGCAAGCAATCCTGCGGAGACAGCGATAATCGAATACGCAGAGTCGCCTCACATCCTCAGCTCGGAGAGGCCAGGTTTCACAGGCGTAGAGCAGCGCAGCCCGCACCGAAGCATTGTATACCCGACCTTTGACAGCCAGGCTAACGTCACGACGGCGCCAGAGGTGGCTCAAGTTGATGTATGCCACCCTAGCTTTCATTATACGGTTGGAAATCTCATCCGTCAACCCTCCGCCAGCACTCACACAACTACCTAGGTACACAAACTTATCGACAACTTCAAGCGGTTCAGCCGCAAGAGTGAGTGCAGGTACAGGCTCCTGCCAATCTTGTCACAGTACTTTGCACTTAGATGGTGCAAAGCACATACCATACTTACAGACACTGATCGCCAACTGATTAAGTGCGATTTGGGCAGCCTGCATGCCATCGCACAGTAAGACGATATCGTCTGCATACTCGAGGTCGAAAAGTCTATCTCCAGGTAGCAGATCTACACCACCTTCACGCACATCCTTCAGAGCTGACTCCAGAATGTCATCGATGGCAAAGTTAAAGAGAAATGGTGAGATTGGGCAACCCTGTCTAACCCCACTGTTGGTTGGGAACAGTGGTGATAGTTGGTTATATGCCGTCACTCTACCTGAGGTGTTTCTGTATAGGGCTTTCAAGATGTTAACAAATTTCTCAGGTACACCTCTCTCTAACAGACAGTTCCAGAGCACAGTTCTGTCCAACGAATAGAAGGCAGCCCTAATATCAAGAAACACAACGATCGTTGGCCTGCAATACGTGTGGCGGTGTTCCAACAACTGACGAAGGGTGAACACATGATCAATGCATCCACGACCTGAACGAAACCCAGCCTGCTCTTCGCGAATCAATCCTTCACGTATTTTGCACAGTCTGCGAAGCATGACAGCAGCCAATATTTTAGACGCAACTGGTAACAGACTGATACCCAAAAAAAAAAAAAAAAAAAAAAAAAAAAAATTTTTAAAGATGGGGACGATAATGGCTTCGTTCCACATTGATGATACGCTCTCTGTCTCCCACACCCTCCTGAACAACCCAGTTAGAGCCATTATGAGAGTCTCGCCACCCTCTTTAAAAAGAGCCGGGGGTAATTTGTCTGGGCAGGGCGCCTTATGGCGTTTCAGAACTTGGAGTTCCTTACGGACCTCCGCTTCGGTGGGTGGGTCGGTACTAACCGACCAAGGAGCACTGGGGCTAGTGATAGTAGACAATGAAGCTGGTGGCCAGCTGAACTGCTTCCCGAAGTGCTCTGCCCAGCGTTCCAGGCGTCTCTTCAGGCTGGTAATTGGAGTGCCATCTGCCTCGCAGACCGTCTCGCTGACACCTTGTTTCTTGCTGCCGGTGGCTCGTATGAGTTGGAACAGCTTCCGACTGTTGCCAGATGCAGCAGCTGACTCCATCTCATACGCACGTTCTGACCACCAGGCTTCGCGGTCCTTACGTAAACACTGTCTAATCTTGCGCGTGAGCGCCTTTCGCTGGTTGTTGTATTCACTGCCAGCCGGAATGGACCGGCGTTCATCCATGAGTTGCAAGGAACTCGCAGAAACCCAGTGGTTGTTAGCGGAGCATTCTTTCAAGCCGCAAGCGGCTACACTCGCCTTTTGCATGGCACCTTGCACATGAAGCCAGTGTTCATCTATACTACTTGGGGGGTTGCTGGCGAGCATTGTTTTCAACTCGTTCTGATATTTCAAAGAAGTAGCAGGTGCTACTAGTTTGCTCACATCAACGCTTAGACGACGGTTTTTACGAACCCAACCAAATCGCAAGACGAACTTGGCACACACTAACGCATGATCGGAGTCCAGGCATGTGCTCCAGAAGGAGCGACAGTCTTGTATGCATCCTCGCCACCGGAAACTGACCGCAATATGATCAATCTGAGTCCAAGCTTGCTTCGCAGAGGGAGGACGCCAGGTAGCGCTACGGCGATGGCTGTGCCGGAAGTTGGTGCTGGCTAGAAATAGGTTGTGATCCGCGCAAAGCTGCAGAAGACGGTCCCCATTATCTGACCTGCGACCATGTAGTCCCCACTGACCACCTAGACGACTCTCCTCTGAGCTTAGATGCCCGACCTATGCATTCAAGTCCCCAGCCAGCACTACGATGTCCCTCCGACCCGCCTGTTTCAACAGATTGCTCAGTTGGTAGTAAAACTCATCCTTCATTGCATCCGGGCTGTAATCCATCGGTGCATAGGCAGAGACAACAAATAGACACCGCCTATCTGGCCTACTACTCCTTACTTTCGTATATCCTTCCAGCCTCACAGCACATAAACGACTGTTAACGGGAATCCAGTCGAGCAGTGCAGCTTCGGCTCTAGCGCTCAGTGCGACACCGACACCAGCTACGCCGGATGCCGATGCCACAGGGTCCCCGGATAAGCGCAGGTGGTACATACTACTAGAACTTCCAGATGGAGAGGATAGTCGAAGCACTTCACTGGGATCTTGAATGCGGGTCTCCGAAATGCAGCAGACATCGATAGCGAGGCTTTCCAAAGTTCTTGCCAACCCTGCCTGTTGTCCGATTTGCATCAGCGTCCGAACATTGTAGGTAGCCAACTTGAACGCAGCACGCGGTTTCAGGATATCTGTGTTAGAAGTCGCATTGGGAACAACCATTTTGAGGACTACTCACTAACATCTCGAAACGACACGGATAGGCTGGGAATCTCGACAAAGGCGAAAGGCTGTCGAAGGTTAAGAAGCCAAGGTCAGCAAAGGTAAAATACAGGAAACTATGTGTAAAAATAAAAGTAAGATAGGAAGGAAATAAGTTGCTTGAGGGATCAATATTGCTTGGAATCATTTTTCACTAGCGCGCGTTGAGTTTCAATGAGAGTTCGTTGCTTCAATTCATTCATTGTGTACGGGCTGAGATACTGCCCGGGCGCCCAGACCGAAGCAGGTGGTTTTATTAAGGGACCACCCCCCGAGCCTTTGACTTGGAGTCTAATCCGCAAGGCAGCGGAGCAGCGTCAGGAGCTGCATTCCCATGGTTGCCGGTGACCCATATGGGTTCATACGCCATTCGATCCAATTGGAAACTGGAGCCCATGTACCCCATGGTAACTGCTTTTAGTCTAACCGCTATTCAAACAACCTTCCTGGCATGGTAGGACCTGCAGGGACATGAGTCCCAGCCAGTTTAGCTTGTTGGGTCACTGCGGCATTCAAGCCCGACCACCACGGCAAGGTAGCAGTTATCGGCCGGGTAAGTAGTAAGTATATCTCAACTATCCGCCAAACCGGTCTAAAGGATGAATGTTTTCTACCAAGGCAGCAAAGAGTGCCACGCATGTGAGCGACATTAAAGGGGATACCGCTTTCTTGAGTGCAAACGTAATGGATCTAGATGTAATCTTAAGTCAAGACCTAGGAACTACTGCACACTGTCATCGGTGGTATTTCGCCACTTTAAATTTACATGAGATGTGTAAGGCCTT